GCTGCTTTCTCATTGGTTTTGGGTCAAACAGAATGAAAAAGAAACGAGGGCTGAAAAATAAAAGGAGTAAATGAAACCATGAATGCATGGGAAACAAATTAACTGGATATGTTTTACATTCTGAAATATTTCCATAATGCTTCTATGTAGTGTGTGTTTATTTTTCTTTGAATAATAATGTTAAAATGTGTCTAATTCAATTACTCTGCATTCATTGAATGAGTTTTCCTTGGTGAAGGGTTCTCCTACACTACCCCAAGCTATGAATTCCATATGATATTTGAACAGGTCCTTTTAATTGCTGATATTAAGTGTCGATCATTCTGCTGTAAGTTGGCAGTGTGGCCAGAGAAACAAATTCCCCTCTCAGATACATTAGACAGTCATTCAATTAACGACCAAAGCTTTATTGACACAGTAGGAATTCATTATGTGAAATATTAAAAAAAGCCCTCCACTGACTAGTTAAAAAAAAAGAGAAAGAGACTTTTAAAGATGTTGGATTATCTACACATAGTTATTAAAATTATTTGTGCAGAATTTGAAATTGTAGTTACGGTGGAAACATTTTTCTCAGAGGCATAAGCAACATTTCTGTTGAAAAATAAGTTGGACTTTGAAAAGATGAATATAATGTACGCATCCTTATTTCCATAGACATGGTGCATTTTCTTGATTAAAAGCCTTAGATTTTATGAGTTATGGCTTTAGACTTGCTGCATAAAGAGCTTCATGGCTTATTCTGTTAGAGTCTAATTTGAAAGAAAGTTCTTCCTCAAGGGTTTACGAAGTAATTCATAAAATGGTAAGAATAATAAATATTGTGCCTTAACTCATACACTAGGATAGATAGATAGATTTTGTACACCTGGGTGTAATTTTAGTTAATTCACACAAGAGACAGGCTGAAAGTTTATTGTTTGGAAGGAGAAAAATGGCTTAAATCTTGTATTTGCAAAAATGATTATATTAGCTTAAATGAAAATGCTACTCTATTAATGGCTTCAATAAGCTTTGCATTTGGAAAAGTATTTTAATAAAAAGTTGCCTGAAGTTTACTGCGACTTAAAATATGTAAGTGAGGGAAAAGTACTTACTTTGATTTATATGTCTTTTGGAGGTGTAATTATTGGCTTTTTACTCACCTATGTAAAACAATGTACTTTTGTAAATGGATTTCTGGCCACTTTACTCCTTTTTTTTCACATAAAAAGTAAGCACTGTCAATCAAAGAATTTTAAGGTTTATTTCCTCTTTAGAAATGATTGATAGCCTTTTAGATTTACAAGTTGACAAGTTAAAGGGTTCTATTGGTATAATTATGTACTAAATTCACAGTCTTTCAATTTAAATGTCCTTTTAAAACCGCAAGATTATCATACCTGTATTTTGAAAAGTGGGCCAGTCAGTTTGGGTTGGTATACAAATTGCTTCCATTAGCCTTGGGACCTATTTGAATTTAATACAGTTTTTTAAAGTTAGTAGTACTTTCAATAGTACTTTTAAAATTTAGGGTAATGCGAATGCATTTTAAGTACAGTATGTGTTAGCTTGTTTTTAATGTATGGATGTCAAGAACACAAATAGAGAGTTTGTATTCCTGATTGATTTTTTGCAATCGTGGGGGAAAAAAAAGAGTTCTTTGAATTAGAGCACTGGGAAATGCGTTATTGTGAATGGATTTCAAAGGCAGAGACCGCGCTCACACATACTGGGGACAGAGGCAAAACCTTGCATGAACTGTGGAATCATAGAATCATTTAGGTTGGAAAAGACTTTTAAGACCATCAAGCCCAGAAACTGGTATCTAACCTTGCACGTTAGCTGCCACAAAGGGTGGCCGAAGCACTGGCTCTTCTACCATGCTTGGAGATGAGAACATCACCTTTTCTTTGGAGTTTTGCCAGCTACTGACACAGGAACTAGTGTGGCCTTAACGCTGAAGGTGGGGTTAAATTTTTAAGCAGGGCTCTTTCTTTGAGATAGAACTAATTACATGTGACTTGGATTATAAATAAACTGAGGAATGGAGGGCTGGTATCATCCAATCTGTGGTTAGATGTTCAGGCAGCAAAAGACTTCTTTTTTTCTTTTTATCTAAGATAGAAAGGGTTGAAGAGTTATAGACTAAGGAGTGATATTTGACAACTACAGTTTAGGACCCAGTCCGGCAAATCGCTGTGTACAGCATCTCCTCACTGCTAAAGTACAGCTGAAGCTATTTGAGGCAAAAAGTTTTCAGTATCTCTCAGAGGATGCTTGATGCCTTGTGAGATTGGACCATAAAATTAACTTTTTTTTTTTGGTCATTTAGTTCAGAAAATACTCACAGGAAATACTCTGTGGATTTCAAATGTGTTGAATGTGTGGGAAGATATGAGAAAATGACTGCTATCTCTGGGGGGATTTCAGAACTGGCCTTCATTTATAATATAGCAGAATTTAGTAACTACTTTCCCAAAGGAAGTAAAGTGAAAATGGCCATAAACTAGACTGAATTAGAGAAGAAACACATTTGACAGAACCACGCTAAAATCTTCTAACACATTTGCAAAAGAAATGTAAATTAAAACTGTAGGGGTTTTTTAATCTTCTCGGAGAACAGCTACTTTTTATAATAAACATAAATAACAGTAAATTAACTTATTGTCGAATTTGAAGGTCTAACCTAAACGGTTCCACGATAAGAAGCCGTGTAAGGATACTCAAAGGTAATGAAACCGGGGATTTACAAACACAGGTACTGTGATATTTTCTGCAAAACTGTACAACAGAGTGGACAGCATGTGGCCAGGGTGTGAAATGAAACACGTGGAAAAAAGGCCCAACCATCCAAAAACCAAAAACGGCACAAGCAGGGGAGAAGCCTGATTCTCCCTTCCATAAAATGACCTGGATATAAATAAAAGATGAAATTCAGATATTCCTGATAAAGGGAAATGCATGAAAAAAACAGGGGAGACTAGAAGGATGCCATGATCTTTGGGGACATAAAAAAATTCTGACAATAGCCCAGAAAGTAAAATCCTGAAAGATTTCTAGTCTGGTGTTACCATAATACTGTAACAGTAATTTCAGGATATGCTCAGAAGATTCCTTTCTGATATTAGAGAAATGTTGAGATTCTGCTTGGCTGTGACCAGCCAGTCCCCGTCAGCTACACACTGCTCTTTCGCTGCTGTTGGGTAGCTGTGGATTCCCCTGCACCACCTTCCTTCTGCCTCAATTTGTAGTAGCATCACTGGGCCTGCTTATGGACTTGGGATGTACTGAAGGTCCGGGAGGATATAAAAATCCGACCCTTTGGTTGCCAGTAGGACCATCTGCTGTAGAAATGTGGTTTGAAAATAATAATTGAAATGGAACAATTTCAATTGTTTCAATCAAGTTTCTTTAAAAACTAGACTGTTTTGCGGGACTGTTTATGGAACACAAAGTAATTAAAAACAAGCTAGGGCTTAGGTATTACTTTCATGATAAGAATGTGGTCTGGCTAAACAACTTTAACATCAGGAGTATGAAAAAATATTCCCTTCACTTAAAAGGTGGAAGTATAGACAAATTGTGCCACATTGATCAGACTGATGGAGTTGTGTAACTTGCTGTGGGACAAGCATCATTGAGCCATATGAGAGTGCTTACAAAAGGGAGATATAATTTGATGCTAAATCTCTTTACATGGATTAAATGGCACCATTCTGTCCATATAATAAAGTTCATAATAAAATCATCATAAAGTAAGGTGCAAGATATATTCGTAATTTAGTAGTCAGATCTTGTGCAAGAAATATTTTTTTTGTTAATAATCTAAGACTAAATAAGAAAAACTTTAAAGTGACTCCCCCCCATTAGATATCCCTCCCACCAAAAAAAAGTGAAAAAGTAAAAAAATCCATATTAGAGGTTTTTTTTCATTCAACTCAAAAAAATTGCAAACAAATTGCTGTGGAAAATTTCATCATCTCTATTGGCACGGGAGAGTCAAGATGCGCTGTTGTTTAGAGGTGCTTGAGAATGCTTGACTGTTGTTCCAGTTCGCCAAAACACTTAGGAAATTTTAAGCACATGTTCAAGTCTCACTAACATCTGAGTTTCAAAGTGATCATATGACTGGAAATATAGCTACAAGGTCATTCAATGCGGTCCCCTGTAATTATAAGCAATCATATAAAAAACATAACATGCTCAAATTTGCTTTGCTGAAAGCAAATGGGTTTAAGTATGTGCTTACAGATAAGCATGTGCTTAAATGCTTGGCGCAATCAGAGCTGCGATTAATGCAGGCAGACTGGAATTTTCATGAAGATTAAAGTGTTCCACCATTTTACTCCTCCATGTTACCGGACAAGGACTGAGGAAAGATGAACTAAAAACACAGATGATTGGGGTTTTTTCGTTTAATTCATTAAGTCTTTTGGATCAGTTTAGTGCAAATTGGAGCCTGAGCTGGGCTGCTGAAGTCAATGGTGATGAGTAAAAAATAAAGCCTCTGCCAAGACAAATGCCTGTAGTTCACAACAAAATTATATGTGATTATTGCACATGGAGCATATTAAATGTATAATAGAATCTGGAACAAGAGAGACTCCTTAATAGTTATTTCTTTTGTCTTCCAATCATAAAGGACCTTTCTCGTAATATGAAAGCAGGGAAAAAACCCAACTTGAAACATGGGGTGTGAAGTATTTATCAAATTAGTTTCATCACGGCTTTCAGAGATAATAATCGCTTCCTATTTGGAAGATGTATGCAACACCCCCCAAATCTTCTAGAAACCTTGTTTTAGGAACTCGAGTGGGAAGGTCTGCATTGCTGTTTGAAGCAGAGCCTCAGTACCAACCTCAAACAGCGTTTGCACCAAGACTTCATAGTCTGATTTCAGTAAAAGGGGATTATGCTGTGATCCTTCCTTGGTCTTAAGGTGCATTGCCAGTTCTTACAGCGCAACGGAGCCTGCTTGCTATGCCTTTGTCACATCACGATGTTTGTTGTTGTTTCAGCTCTGAACGAACCCACCATTGACTATGGTTTCCAAAGGTTACAGAAGGTTATCCCCCGGCACCCTGGTGACCCCGAACGCTTGCCAAAGGTCAGCCAAAGTTTATTGTTTTATTAAATATGGCAAAGCTGGTTACTGCATGTTTTTTTCTGAAAGCGCAAGACACTGTAAATGTAATGGTCGCTGTTTGGTACCCAACCCAGACAAGCTCTAACAGCCATGAGCAATGAAGCCCAATCAGCAATTTTCATTGTAGGCTAATGAGACTCCTGTGACTTTCTGAGTCACAGCTAACTCAAACAGCTCCTGCCTTGCTTAAAAGCAAATCTTACTCTGTGTTCTGAAATACTTAATAAAAGGCACATTTTTGTTTGGTATTTTCGAACCTGAGCAGCTTATCATAGAAGAATGACGCTTCTTGGTTTTGGTATCGCAGTAGTACTTGCCATTATAATTTTGATAACTTCACCATTGATAAAATCAAGTTATTTGCATCTTCAGGGAACGTGTGTCCACTGCTGTTGCACCATGTATTGGTTTAAGATAATAATTACTGTATACTGCTTTTTCAGGATTGCTAAAATAATAAGAGCAATGCATAGTGAAGTGATTTGGTGTTCATTCCCATCAAGATTAGGGAGAGTTCTTTTGTTAATTTCTGTCAAGTAAAAGCTGAGGAGGAAACAGAATAGTTCATATGGGCTTCTAGTACTTCTGTCTTGTACTGTGAAAATGCTGTCCGGGTCTGCACTCACATCTGTTCTTGCTACTTTGCCATACAGTACTTTCTCTGGCAAGAATTTGAGGTGAGTTTTGTGATATACTGGAGAAAGAGGTGGGGTATTTGAAAAAGTGTTGCTCTTTGCCACGGGAACACTGACCAATAGCGTGCATGGGCTGGAGTAACTCGTATGTGACCAGCTGCCACCGTGTGTTGTATCTGCTCTAGCATCATGGCTGTTAGTGAGTTGGACAGGCAAGTAAGCTAGGTGGGTTTATTTGAAGAACATCGCCTTTTACTTACGGAACGGGAGATGTGAATTCCCAGATCTGAGACATAGAACAAGTCGGGCTTTGATGCTTCAGACCAGATCCCTCAAATGATATATGTCCAGTATAGCCTTTGTAACTGGGTAAATCTTGTGACCTTTCTTCTGTAGCTCCCTGAGCTGTAAGTAGGCTTTCATCAGGGATTGTTGTGGGCTTTGATTAGTTAAATTTCTAAAGTATTTCAAGAGCACCACAACTTACTTTGTTTTATTTCTTGATAGAAATTAAATTCAGTATGTGATTTTTTTTTTTTTACAGACTTACAAAGTCTTTTATCTTTGCTTAGGAGGCTGTAGACTGTGGTTTCGGGGTCGATTTTGTGTTGTCCTTCCCTCTTACCACTAGAGAAACATGCTGTCCCGGAGAGTTACATTTTACATTGGCTCTGTTCACCCTCTACAAGCTGTCCTTTTCTCTGACTTCTGGACAGATTTGCAGCAGGACACAGCTTTCATAGGTTGTCAAATTTCTCTCCAGAGGTGCAACCCTTTCCAAGAGAGCATCCTTCTGCAGGGGCTCTTTCATCTGTATCGTGCCTCTGCTGCCAAATATGTACATGGAGAAAAATTGTTTCTAAGAAAATAAGAGACCAGGTTTCATTACACACCAGGCTTTTGCAAGGCCAAAAGAAACGCTGCAAAATTTCCCTGAACCCAGTATTCCAGCTGACTTGTAGATGGCTGTGGCTTTCCTGTAAATGAGGAAATTCAATTAAGATAGGACTGAGCAATTCCAAACGGGGCTATGCAGCTGCAGCTTGTAGTGCATCACCAACTTCCACGAGTATTGGGCTCCCTTTCTGACACCCATGGCACTGAGGCAGTCCCCAGTAATGCTTTTTTGTGCTGGTATGGGTATGCAGCCATCAGGCTGAGCATCCCTCCTTTTTCCCATTTAGACTGAGAGTGATACCACACTGTTAACCACACGTTCCTGTTATCTAGCGTCACGAGAAAAAAGCTCCATCTAGCTCCATATCATGACTTCAACGTTTAGCAGGTACTTACGGATAGGATATGAGAATGAGGGTTAGTACCGCGTCATCCGTCCCCTCATATACCCTCCTGGCGTAATGTGTTTGTTCTGAGTATATTTTCAAGCTAGTTTTTCAAATCTTTAAATCAAGGGCAATTGTATCTATGTATACAGAGGTATGATGTGATGGCCTAAAAAATAAAAGTTACTGCTTAGGGACTGAACAAACTCAGTGAAGAACCTAGTATCACTAGGCAAGGTTAGATGGAAACAGAGTGAAGAGGACCGTTTTTTTTGTCTTTGGGTAATTCCTTCTGTGCAAGCTTGAAGGTTGGACCTCAAGTTCAAGACTCATTAATATGCCACACACAGAGGCTGAATGCAGCAGGGGTTGGCACACGTCAACTTCTGTATTTGAGGCACTGATGGTTCAATTCCCAGCATTGCTTGCTGGCTCCGGGATCGCAATCAAGGATGCAGTGAGTCTCTGTGCTGGGTGAGCACTGCACAGCGCTCTTCCCCATGTCATTAAACCAGGAAGGGCTTTGGCAGTATTCCACTATAGACAATTCTCAGTGGCTACTTAGAAGAGAGTTAGAAGCCATATGGCTTCCACAGTGGAACCACGGGCAGAGAGGGCAAATGTGTGAGAGAGACAGAGAGCGAGACAGCAGAGAGGAGAACAGTGCTCAAAGCCTTCGATATCCTTTCCTCCATTTTCCCCATTCTCCTGACAGTGCGTCATCACTTTCTGTTCATTAAAAAGCTTGTACTTATGCATTAAATAAATAAAACAAAACACATTTCTATAATTACTGCTAGAGTTTGTGGCCATTGAAACATTACTGATGAATTAGAGATCTTTCAAGAAACAGAAATAGTTATAATGTTTGTGTTCATAAGGGCATGCAGTCCTTCCCATGGACCAACACGAGCATTCTGCTGTGTGGCTTATCCCTGCAGTCAAGGAGAATTACTGAGGCCATCAAGTGAGTGTTAGCACATGCTCTGCCCTCCGGAGCTGAGGACTTAACAGCCATATCTGTGTCAACAGGCATTTCTAAAACCGCTGAGGCTATTTGGGAAGTTTGATCTCCAGAATTTAGAATGAGTATTTTCAGAAGTGCTCAGTGTTCATGCTTGGGATGAATTTTCTTAAACATTCCAGGTATCTGCTGGCAGTATACAAAGAAAAAAGCCAGATTTCAAAGGGTTTTTTGTGTCTCCTAGTGCTTCAGTAGCCAAATTGCAGTGGAAAATGCCCTCCCATAGCGAGGAGAACGGGAATACCTGGGAACTAGGGTCTTTGGACTGCTAGATTGACAGTTGATGTAGAGATGTGTTTAAAATAGAAATCCAATATGTAGTTTCTATAGAAAAAGGAGTGTGAGCTGGTGTTGGCAACTGGGCTATGGAGCCAGCTATGGGTCAGAGTCCTGTTCCCTTCTTGTAGGGTCAGGGAAAGCAGCCAGCGTAGGGTTGTCACTAGCAGATGTGCATGTCTGTACACACACACACAAACACATGCACCAAGAGGAGAGACAGGCAGTACAGAGGTGGTGGGATTAGCACCCAAAGCGTGGAGTGAGGTCAGGTACCAGGAGTGTACTGGGCAGTGTAGTCTTTCCTTTCTAATACGGACAGGAGGCAGATCAGAGGAAAGAGAGATCTCTGAGGAGAAGTAAAAAGAAATATCATGATGCTAATGTTAAGAAATCATATGTTGTCCTGTAGGAGCAGTTTGTAGAAAGCCTGCCTCTGGAGCTGGGGAATAAGCCTGCATGTGTATATGCAATTTCCCTGTCTCATGTGTTTGCATATGTGCACACAAATACACACGTGTTGTTGGTTCTTGCATGCATAACTGCAGTGGAAATCACTAAAGAGTCCAGATCACAACAACATGTTGAGTATATTGAGGTTCATTTATGTAACCACCCTGCAATCCTTAAAATAAATCTCTGGCAGATACGTTACAATTCTGCAATTTTGTTAAAACTCCACAGCTATAGCTGTAAAACAGTTTCAACTGTGAGCTAGATTTGAAACACATCCATCCTAAATGATTTAATAACAATGATTCCTCTTTATATGCAATTTCCTAGAATTTATTTGCCATTTTCACCACTCTTACAACTCATCACTTGTATTTAAATTACGTGCAAGATTGTTCACTCTGTGTTTGAGAAACAAGTCAGCACATCGGCCCCCTTCATGATCTGACATCCTCTCCCTCCCAGTCTGTTGCTTAAGCGCTCTCTCTAGGAGACCCCTTATCCCTCCTGAAAGGGACCTTTACTTCTGGTTTCTCTTCATGTAGATGAAAGTGGAGCCTCTCTCTGTAGCACGCAGGGGCCTCCCTGCTGAGCAGAGAGCACACATAACCAGGCTCCCCCTTCCCTCCAGCTCCTTTTCTCTGGTCTCTCATTAGACCCCCCAAGAGAGATCCCACCTCCTTGTTTAGGACACTAATGGAAGACAGGTGGTTATTAGGAACCAATGGCTGGCAAAAGCAGTTGTCTTTTGCCATTTGAAATCCCACAGATCTGCCCTTTATCCGTTGCGACATGGATGTTGTTTATATTGCAAATAAAAGTTGCCTCTAAATTTGGGTGGGTTGGCCCAGGCTCGCTAGCAGAGATTAAAACAGCAATAAAGACAAGGCAGATCAGGTTTGCTGACTCAGACAGACCCAATGGAAATTCCAGAATGGATCTCCATCTGCTAACTCAAGATACTGTATTTTAACCTAAGTTAGTAATTTTGAGCTAAGAAAACACATATTTTGGTGGTGGTTTTGTTTTTGTTTTTTTTCCCACCCCATGTGAACAGGAAAGTTGTTGGAAAACTTACCAGGTATAGGCTGGAAAGGGGAGCATGTGAAGATGAGCTGTTGAAGTTCATCTGTATAGCCAAGAGGGCATGAGATGTGCTTGGCAGTTTCTATGCTGTACTGTAACATTTATAGGAGTGTGAGACCAGAGTTAAGCTTGGTATTGAACCCTTAACAGTTGGTGTTTTTTCATTTCCTAACAATTTGGGCATTGTTTGGTTTTTTGGGTTTG